TATATCTATTCATGTGTAGTATACATTATAAAGTAAATCAGTCTTATTTACTGACGAAATTTCTTATTTATTGAGAAATTTTAAATAGTAAAAATTTAAAATTATAAAAATAAAATGTAACTTTCGGCTGATATTTATCGAGATTGGTCTGGAATTGACAAAAAAAATACTCTGTGCGACATAAATGTCAGATATATAGAGAACAAACAAATAAATGGAACAGTATATTAAAAAATGTATTAAAACTTCAGTCAGCTTTTATACATTGAAAGAATACTTGAATTCAAATATAAATTCGCGACAGTATACTTATCTCGTCATGTCTTAACTCATAAGCCTTTGCGAAATTTGGAATGGGATGTTCCATTTACTTTATATAAATGCTTTATGAGAACGTAATACGTCCATTTTGTAAATAAAGGTAAACCGAGTATTTACCGTGACAGTCAATGTCAATAGACTGTTCGCTTTGTACCGACTCCAAGAACAAACAAAGGTAATCCCCCACCGTCATGAGAGTTACTCTAAGGACATTGAGTCAATGCTAAGGGGTTGGGGTGATTGTGACGTAATATAAATTACATTACTCTCTTACTAATTCTGAATTAGAACAGTTACAACGATATATCAAGATATGCCTAGTCCCTTGTTTGTCTTCTCACTTTATCATCATCAAATATTTTACTTCAAAAGTATTAAAAGATAAAAACAGTTTTACCAGAATATGCTTACTAATTAAAAAAATATCACAATGACGTCAAATTATAAATATATATAATATCAGTTACGAGAGATGCTTAAATGTTCGTAGATTATATTTGATTTCCGAAAATTCTGGAACCTGAATCATTAAAATATTCATTTCTATTCATTATAATTGGATTAGCAGTCTTTGAGAGTAACGGAAACGAGAAAAAGTCGGAATGATGACAGAATGCTGCTCTAACTGAACAGTTTGACTGTCGTCTATCAATCTTAATCCATGTTCAATATTAAATAAAATAGAATGGCTTCTAGAAGCAAATTCATTAAATATAATTTTAGATGTTATAAATTTATACCATCAGATATATTTGTCGAATTCCATGTACAGTAAAGAAAACAATTCCGAAATTGTAGTGATTTGACTCGCATGCCGGGTTTCTTAGATAACATTAAAAAAACGCCAAACTGATTTGTTTAATATATAAAATACTGGAAGCTCAGATATACAAGAGGCGACTCCATCATAATATTATTTGCATTTCGGGACGTGATTCGAATTTAAAATGTTGGTTACAACTTCGTACAATGCGTTAAATTTTGTGTATTTACCTTTTCTTTGACACTCGGCTTTGTTGCGAAACAAAATTATACCTTATTAGCTTCTATTTAAATTACAACATGAACATATATTTATCTCGAAACAAATGTTTTTAATTATAAATAATACTTTGACACGGAATTCTACATTTCAATTACTTTGTAAATTAAAACCACCCAGAAACTATATTTATATATAGTTATAAATCGCACTACATTGCTTGTACTCTATGTCAAATTCCTTCACAACTGTTAAAATATTTTTATAGACACATATTATATGGTACATAAAGTATTATTAAACTCATAATAATTATATAATTCTTAAAAGAATACAAAGACGCACGACATCCAAGTTATCTTATATTTAAATGATTTAATATCGAACATTCTAAGGCATGGGCGTTTTCACTTAATCCTTAGCATATTACAAGCGGTCGTATTTGGCAGGCTTTTAATCACACTGACGTATCCCGGATTTTCTGACATTTTTGGCTCAGCGTATTATACATTTTAAAGAAAGCCCCCATTGTTGACTTAAATTATTTCATAACGTTATATCTTTTATCTATCGATGAATATTATGAGTAATACGTATCTTTTATTTTTTATGTATAAAAGGAAAAATAAAATTAATCACCAATATTATACTGTAGACCAGAATTAAAATGTCTTTTCCTGTTTTGGTGATATTATCATTAAGTTATGATGGCAGTAAACTTAATGTTACCAAAATAAATCCGTTTTGAATTAATAAAATCTTATATTAAAAGTCTACTAAAAGCTATTAGCATTAAAATCACGATATCTGCGATCAGATGTCCAAATCGGATATTGATAGTGGATGTTCCAAATGTACATTCGTTAATAATTAATGCTATTGGTTTTTCAAACGGACTGGCAAATGAGCCAACGTTTGCGAGGCGAGGATGGTAATGTCAGCCAGTCAGTAAATTTTAACAGATAAGCTCCCCTCTGACGTCTAGGCAGTACTTACTTGTTTCATTAGTTTGATTTAAATTCAACTTTACTTAATAAACTACGCACTGATTCATATTATAAATTAGTAGTGACACGTTTATTTTAGTGTCATTTATCTTATATCTTTCAATTTATAAAAAATATGTTTTCATATCTGTTTTTTTTTATTTATATTACATCGAAAACTATTGGTCTTATGAATATTTTCTTCATACTACATATTAACTTCATCATCAATAATGAATTGCTAGTTTATATATGTTTAATCACATTAAAATATTAGCTATAAAAACTACATAGTAAGCGAAAACTTGACACACATATTTTATTCCGAACGTGGACAATAAAAAGATTAAATAAATTCTCCAAATAGAAAATGCTGACGCTGCTTACTCATAACGTTAGATTGTATTTTTTGACCTGTTACTTTTGACAACACTTATATTTGAGCTATAGAAATGTTAACTGATATTTCAAAAATATTCGGTGTAGTTGAATCTTTCACAATGATCTTTTATAAAATAACCAAAAATAAAACATATTGAACAATAGAATTCTGTTAAATGGAAACTCCAAACAAAAGGTTATATCAGAACATTATTTTTGATTCGTTCTATTATATACAAATCATATTTATAGCAAAATTTTCAATAAAAAACCTATTATTATTGACTCAAAAGAGTACAGCCTTTATATATGCATATAGAGTAATTGTTATTTGAGTATTAATTTCTTCGCTGACATGGGAAATGGTTCAAATATATTATGAGCTAACGCAATATCTAAACACCTCATGATTAATTTATTGCTAACATTAATTTCCCTGGGATTTCGTTACCTGTATGTATCTCGCGTAAATGGCGCTGGAAATCTTACACGGCGTCATTTGTTCCACAGGGTCCCTATGGGCCGGGAGGGGACGCCGTAGTTACCTTCATAAATCTTTTCCTCGGGCTTCCCACAACTAACAAGCCAAGCAGGCGCTCTTGTCGAACCCTGTACCGGTAAATAACAGCGAAAACTTTCATAACTACCTCTCGAGATCTATATACGGTCTTAAAGCAGTCGAAGAAACAATTTTTAAATTAAATTTTCCGTTTCCTATTTAGAGAGAATTCTCTTCCTTTGTGTTTTCCTTTTGTTTGTTTAGAAAAAATCAGAGAGTAATGGGAAATAATTTTCATTTTGGTACGATTCATATTCCTTGTATGTCTGGTGGTTCTAAAAATGTTAATTTATGTTTTAGGAAATTCCCCTTTCCCATTCTTAAAATTTTTATATTACAAATAATTCTATACTTATCAATCAATAATTAATAATTATATAGAATAATCTTTATAGCTGGTCAGAACACAAAGCGGTAATAATAGTTGTAACATTGTTTGGTCATTTGATTCTCTAAGTTAATAATAGAGTAAGTCCGAACAAAAATTTTTGGAACAAAATAATCACGATTTTAGTAAATAAAAATTTACGGATATTTTTGAAACTATATTTATATTAGTGACATTTTCGACATCTATTACATAAAACAAATATGTCGGTCTAATTGTTATGTACATATTTTATTAAATTTTGTGTGTCTTTACCGAAATATATATTAAAAGTGTGAAGAATTCAACCGTGGGATATATTTTTCAGTAGATTTAGTTTCCACACTGGAAGAAACCTGAAATATATGATCGTACGTTTTAAAACAAGAAACACTTCCCCTTTAGTTTTACAAGAAAGGATAGTTAAAAACAATGGCTTTCTCGATTAGGGTTACAGGATGTTTATCGAAAGCTATTAGAAGGATAACAGAGTTCTATTATTGTCTTTTAACTCTAACCTAAATATAATGTGTATACCTACATCTAATCTGTACAGAATATAAAGAATAGTCATTGTCATTATTTTTATTTCAATTGTTCTTTGATCATGTAAGCTATTGTTACGACTAGTGTCTTGCTTAAATGACCAATGAGATGAAGTTTTCCCTGTAATTTATAATATTGTGGAAAAATGCTATTTTTAGATAAGTTGCGGCAAATTTTGACAGATATTAACGAATTCTTACTGAGTGGTGATCAATCAAAGTTGGGAAGTTTTTGCATTAAGGTTCCAATATTTAAAAATAAAAGTTGGAAACCATGTGCTTTTAGAAAGACTCTTATCTTACAATAAATAATACATCGGCATAATGATAAATAAGGATTAAAATAGTATAATATTACAGATATTTAACTGTTCTGTTTATTGAGACACGATTTGTTTTTTAATTTATAAATTTCTGATGATTAATAAATATTAAACAGATTTTTAAATAAACTCTTTAAACGGCATTATTTGTATTTCATCTAAATAAACATAAATTTCGTCCTAATCTTATACTTAATTTGAATAAAATCTACAATTCATCATTATTTCTTTAGTTTTTAAAGGTTTTCGATAGATTATTCAGTAGAACTTGAAACATTGATAGTCAAGGGTTATTGAGGTTAGTGGGGTTACAGGCAATACTGATAGAGCTATTATTCATTTATTCAAATACCGGATCTCGTCTAAGATCTCTTGTAGACAGTTCCTTTTAATAAGACCATTAGGTAGATTGCTTTTTCATTTTCGTCTTTATTTTGAAAACAAAATAATAATAATAATAACGTATCTTTAAATAAATGTCTCTATTTTTGTTCGAATGAGAGAAGGTGAATAAAATAAGAAATTTTCTTTTGCAGTGTCGATGGAGGAGCATATGTGCGCTCAGTACTGGAGGTTTTGTTCTTCTATACTGGCGCCTGAGATTAGCGGGTGCGCCTTCCGCGTTCGCAGCAGCTGACAACCCAGCATCCCGTGATCCATCTATATTAACACGATTTTATACTTTTTCATATCTACCAGTATTCAACTTCTTACTCCTAATATATCCTTTTCAACTCAGTTTTGATTGGTCCATGGATTCTATTCCAAGAATAACAACACTCTTTGATATAAGAAACATCTACTCGCTCATTTTCTATGCGGTAATATCAAAAGTGACTTGGATAGCGTTATCCAATGAAATGAAAAAACAACAGGAAAGAAAAGAAAAATATTTTAAGAAGCAAAACAATAGAATAAAACATAAATGGAATTACAACTCTAAACAATACAACAGAAGACAAGACTGCGAAAGAAAAACTATTATACCCCATAAAGAAAATGCATCTTTTAAAAGAACGATTTGTCCATGTAATGGATGTAAGCATACACTTACAGAGGAACATACGAATGTATGTAGAGTTATTAACAATAATAATACGGTAATGCATCAATCTACTTGCGTTTGTCCAACAACCGTGGGTAGATCTAAGAAAGATAATTCTCAAAAGAACGTGTACCGTAGTCCTCAAGTCGCAATGCTATTATTCACAGCGTTTATGAGCCTACCATTCGTGCCAGCTAGTAATATTCTCTTTTACGTCGGTTTTGTTGTTGCGGAACGAGTTCTGTATATACCCAGTGTTGGTTTTTGCTTCTTACTTGGATTAGGGGCAGGCACATTGACGAGAAATTGGCGCCGATATGAAATGCGCAGTCGTATGTTTATGTCGGCTCTATTGATAACGTTACTAGCAATGAGTAGTGCGACCATGCGCAGAAATCTAGATTGGCGTGACGAGGAAAGTCTATTCAGGAGTGCCATACACATCAATCCACCAAAAGGTAAGCAAACTGTTTTTACTTTTTATTGGATCACTTTAAATGTTAATTTGGATAAATGCATTAATAAAATTGTATATTTATACACTTCAAATCGCACAAACAATTTTATTTTTTACTATGTAAAAATATTACTCCTAAAAGAGTTATATATACTGAATGTGGGTTTAAATAGAATAGTCAGGCTTTGCTCCTATCTTGAACCTTAGGACTTTATTGTAGTAATTCCTTCGTATATTCACAAGCTGTCATGTCATATAAATAATTCACAACTGTTTAGCGTCACCAGTGATTTGCAAGTTCATTTCAAATTTCCGAGTTCAGTGTTGCGAGCAAGCATTGCGTCTCCACCCCTAAACTTTGTTTGAGTTACTTTCTCGTCACTCAAAACTAAGACACAATTAATTTGTTTGAGAGACAGCTACAAAGTACCTGTCTACGGTGCGTTAGTTCTACAAAGTTGCAAAAGAGGCTGTCACGGGCTACCTACTGAGTAGGATCACTTGAGAGCTTTTAATGTATTCTGCCTCTTCTCGTAGTCGGACTCTTGACCCCGCTACGACGCTATGAAACATGCATATTTACTGTCCCAAAGGATCACCGGTTTTCTGTTTATATCAAAATACGTAAGAAAGAACTTTCAAACTCTGTTTCTAATTCCAACTCTTTCAATTCGTAAAATGTTTCCCTTAGATCGTGTATTGAATTACCTGTGTATTGAAATTGCTTCATATGAAAATTGGATGAGGCCCCATCCGGTAGAATATACAATTTTGATTAACCCTTTCGCCTTCTTTTACGTTGTTTTTCCAGTTTCGTTGTCGTAAGGTTACATAAAATCTTGATTAAAATGACTTGCTATTGTTTTGTTCATGGTTTTTTGTTATTTTATTCATAAAGTAATATACTTTTATAAATACGTGTTATCAAAGATCACATATGTGTATTGTTTTTTTGTAGTATTAGAAAGACATAAATAATAACTTCAAATAGATAAATTAATTAGCAAAACAAAGCTTAATACAACGTGCTTATAACAGGAGAAAATTATTAAGAGCTTTTTTATTACCTTGAATAACGGCAACGCCTAAATAAAATAAGGTTATTAATTAAAATGTAATCAATAAATTTTCTTTTATTCTTTTAAATAAATTAATTATAATATGATATACTTTTTAAGTATGATATCATTTACTTACTAACTTTATTTCTTCACAAATTTTGCATGTATCAACAAGTGAACATGTTCGTGTACTAAATCTGTTGATAAAGCTATATTTCACAAACGACAAATAAGAGAGATAACGAAATATGCTCTAGTCAGAAAAACAATATTTCAAGTAAATTATGACACTTTATCGAAGGGTTCGATGTTAAACTATCTAACTCCATTCCGATTGTGAGATAAAATAAAGCTAAGTAAATCGCCTCATGAAACTTCTATTCTGATTGTATTTTTCTTGTTCGAGTTTCATAAATATATTTTTTGTATTATTTCTTAGTCTTGTTATTTTATCCTCTCAGTCAATTCATCATCTCTTGAAATAATCCGATTAAGTTTTATTTTAGACTTTTATTTTTTAACTCTCTTATTTCTCGTATTATTTTGTACATTACTCACTTAACGTGAGTCTGTTTTTTTCTTATATTTGTTTATGAAGAAAATAATAAGCTTACCAGTTTAATGATTTTATTTAATTTCATATCATTTTAGTATTTAATTAAAACATAAAAATAATTTCACTGAAATTTTTAATAAAAAGCCAAACTGTACAAATATTAATAAATACCATACAGTCCAATAATATTTCAAATAATTATAGTTACATAAAGATGTAACTAAAGGATACAACTTTTCAATTTTATTTTCATATACTTTCTACTTTAAACAGATGAAATCTTTCTATGGAATTTAACAGATAAAACCTTTTTATAGAAACTCTTTTCTTTCCGATTTAACAACGGATTTCAAATATTGACTTCAAAATTGTCTTACTGCTTTATTCGTAGAATCTTTGCGAGCTGCAGAAGATTAATGTCTTTGAAACTTACGTTACATTAATATTTGCTCCATTTCAAATACACATTATAGAAAAAAGTACTAAGAGTAAATGTTTTATTATAAAACAAGAATTATATCCTGTCTTGAAGAGTTTTTGTCAAGATATTGTTTTAAGACTATTCATTTAGTTAAATAAATTTAGTCGTGATAAAGATAAATTTCAAACAGATGTAACGTGAAAATACTGCTCAAAATATTATTAGATTCTCCTTATATGAGATGCTAAAAGCCACTCCAATGTATTTTAGCTTCGAGTTGCGGTATCCATTTACCATTTTCTTTGACGTCGGTGGAAATTGGATTATTTTGATATTATTGGGTACACCGCAACTACGACATTATGTTTCATACTTTATTTATTTAGAAGGAATACCTTCTACAATCACTTAGCTTCTTTCATAATAGCTAAATTATTTATCATGATTTATAAAGTTATGATAAGATAATTTTTATAAATTACAGAGGTACACATAATTTTATACCTTTGAAATGATATCATATATCAATGTGAATTTATTAAGGAAGCCGATAATTATTTGGCAAAGAATATGTGGTTTTAAGTGGCAACACTTCGGATTCAATTTTATGACAATTCAATTAACATTCAAATAAAATTAACACACTCCATTAAGCGCTCAAAACTCTTTTGTTGCTTAAATAACTCGGCAGAAAATTCTTTTACCTTCGCTGAGGGCTGACTCAATCCAATTTGTCTCGGCGTGTATTCGAAACAAGGCAATCACTGGCGGTCCCCTATTACGATTCGCTCGGAAAGACCTGGCGATCTAATCAGTTAAGCTTAAAGCTTCATCGAATACACCTTTTGCAGTGATAACTGTTCTATCGAACTAGATGTAGATTAGTGTCAGAGTAGATTTGTAATTGAAATCCTGAGTCTCAATTTGTTGAACACAGTTTGCTATGGTAAACTCTATTGAGAGATAGGTAGAACGTGGAATTTTGATTCATACACATGCATACAGCCACATGTGAAGTCCGCTAAGGATTTAACTATTAGTTTAGTTATTACAGAGAAGTTAGACGTCGTCGTTACATTATCGACTATATCTTACACTGTCCAGAAATTCTCATTAATATTAATCTCTTGAAAGACCGTTATTGGTTTTTAAGCTCATTCCCAAAACATTTTCAGAATCTCATTAATATGATTATATACATTCATATATAGAAATACCTTAAATGCCACATAATAAAATTAATAATTTCGATTAAATAGGTCGGTACCACAAATGATAAATTATAATATTAATCTGCGGTGTTAAAATTCAACCACATAGAAAATATTAATTATTTGCTTCACTGAAATGAAAGGATTATATTTTACTCTCATGTTTGATATACATTTCTACTGGAATTCTCTTCTCTATTGTATTTCTGGCTTATCGTATCCGTTCTATTTCTTGTAAGAGAAAATTATTGGGAAAATATTACATATGTCACATTCCCTATTGATTTTTTAAATGAAGAAATTAAAATTACTACGTCGACACATCCCTATATTAGCCAGCAATTAATATCGATTGGATTATAAAACACTTTTACTTTTTAATACTTACAAACGATTTTCAGAAAGTGTAACTTTATAGGTTTTGTAACTAATATTTCAAATAATGTGTTGCCCTCAATGACATCAATTCAGTATTAATGAATTATTGATCATTTTATTTAATTAATGCAAATAATTTTTTCACTAAAATTTAATAATAAAAAATTGTTCAGCTTTGTATTTTGTTGACATAACTATAATTCTTTTTACTTTTATAAATTTCACGTACATATTTCGTAGTGCAATATTTCTAAGAACAGTTTTTTTTATGGAAAACAAAAATATGTCTTTTGAATGCATGAATGAATTGTAATTAAAGCTGTGAACAAAATCCCAGTTTGTTATTTCGCAAAGCCTTGGGCAGTCAATGTTCCCTAACTTTGTGTTTGAGTATAGTAAAAAATATGAAATGTTTTTGATACTTTTAAAAAGTGTGTTTAAGCTTTGTGCGTTTATAATTGTAGATGTATTTTTTCTTTTGATATTACCGACAAAGCATTTTTACGGTTTAACTCTTTACCAGTAAGAATAATTTGAATAATATTTATTTTAAAAATTGTTACCTACTCATATTTTAATAATTAATACTAAGTAGCTATTACTTCAAGCTTATATACTTCAAAGTAATAATAAAATATTTAGATAGCTTTTCTGTTACCATTTTGAACATGAAAAATAATACACTTTTGTAATAATATAATTCATATCTTTATTATAACGAAGTAGTTAGTTCAAATAAAACCTAAACTTTGATTGTTGCTGCGGAAGAGGCACACCTTACGGATAATGGTGGAAAACTCTCAATTTTTCTCCGTGAAACGAGCCAAAAGAGGTTAACTTGCATCGTAAAAGATTAACAATGAAAGCGTGGACGGGCTTAGAAAACTGAACCCTTCTTTGATATGATGGAGTAGCTGGAATGAATAATATAAAATATATACTAGTAAAAATATGAGCATTTCTGCAAAGGTGGTTCTCAAGTTTCTTGATAAATTGAAAATATTCTACGTATATACTTTACTTAATAAGAAAAATATTGCATACGTAAATCATTGAACATAGCAGAAAGAGAAAACTTATGAGTGCACATTGCAAGTCAAAGTTCTATCAATCATTTTGCGGTAGATCGAGGTCATAAGTTAGTCAATGCTAGGTCCGATTAAGGTGAATCTAGTTCACGCCAATAGCGCCTCTATACATGTCACGTCCCATTGAAACATAAAGGCTATTGACGTACTCGCGCTTGGTCGAACAACTGTACCTAACTATAGACAATTTAATATACATTGACTAGCGCTATATAATTAGTTTCATGCGTAAAATTTTTTACAAGAAGTTATTTTTTTTTGTGGAAAAATGTTTTTTTTTACCAAACAGAACAATTGTATTAAATATATTTCAAGAAATTACGAAATTAATGCTATGTAGAACAAACAAAAACAAATATTGAGAGTGGGGCGTTCTCTGTTCTTAATGTAAATAAAAAATGTCGTAATACACAAATAAAGCGATGGTGTTAACGTAAAGAGTAAATTGTGGAATTTTAAATTTGGCCGAAAATATATTCTGATAAAGTAATTTAATTGTTAGAGTATCTAAGGTACTCTAAGCAAATAAATATATCAAATCTCTCGTGTTAATTATATACCGATAATAATTAATGTCAAATTACTCAGGTACTCTATTAAGCAATCTATTGACATATTGTTTATTGAGCCAACCTCTGACGGTTCATATAATATACCTTAAAGTTCAAGTGTTGAATTTTCAGGATACACCTATATACTTTTAAGTGTCTAAAGATAAATTTATTTTAAATTTATATCATCAATACACCAGAGCTTACACAAATAACGAGATTAACGTGCTCGTAAGTGCAGATTTTAATTAAGGCCGCATTATTATCAGCTGTCTGCCTCATCTTCACGTGCTATATTCCATATAAATGAAATTGAATTATTGTAAATTTTGGATATTTTTTCTTATGTTTATTTTCATTATTCTTATCCTTGGTTTCTACCTGTGACTTGTTTCGCATAGACTTTAGGTGTAAGGCGTAGAGAGAAGTGTATAAAGTTTGTTAACACTGTAGATATGTTTACCAACTGACATCAACGTCTGTATTCTGTGTTACATAACTTTATACACAATATAACTGCAATACATACCTACATAGAATTCTTAGAGTAATGTGTAAGCTACATTACTGTAAAGTTTAATTAAAATATGTTAAGAAGTTTTTGTTGGATAAAGCAACGAACATCCATACATATATGGATATATTAACACAAACAAATGTTTAGTACTTATAATATTATTATGTTTTTAAACTTCTATATTTTTTTTCTAAAAGGATAACTATTAGGAAGATAAAGCTGGATATTAGGAAGGTAACGAAATTATTATTTTTTCATTTTTGTTTGTTTTGTTGGTTTGTATAGTTCCATCATAATCTTTACAGTAATTTTAGTGAGGAACTTTTATTCCACCTTACATAATATCGTCTGTGGTACTTTTAGTGCTACATAAAAATCCGATGCAAATGAAATGAACAGACGTAATATTTTTAAAGGAAAACTCACATTAATATTGAATAGCTCAGTGAATGTTTATTGGTTCACTTCCATTTGATATCTAATACAGATTATCTCGAGCTTCCTACACCGGACGTGGTGTTATGTATTTCCATCGGCTTTTATACTAACAGCCAGCATATTGTTTTCTGTCGTTAAGTGTTGTTTACTTGAATGTACATTTACAATATAGTATTAATGTATTTTGTTAGTAAGAATGACCATGACATATCTGACTTGGATTTAACACATCAATATTATGTAGGCGTTAATACTTAAACATTTTGCTTCGTCGCCCAACCATTAAAATTCCCATCATCCCTTTAATATTAACCTGAAGTCAACTCATATTGAAGTTGATTAACGGAGTGTGTATTCCGGTCGACCACCTAATCGCTCCCATGACGTTTCCATTTCGTGCCCAAGGGAGAAATATACGTTTTCTAAAAATTTTACATCATCACTTTTACTTTTTACAAAAAGAAAAAGAAATCTTCGTTTTTTCTACAACTCTCAAACGTGTTGATAGTATAAATTACATTTAGAAAATTATTAATACTTACAATATACTTACCTACTCATACGTAAGATGTTCTTAATTATAGAAACATTATAACTCTATGTTCTTAATTATAGAAACATTATAAATCATAATTCAATATGAAAATGATAGATATATGAATATCTATCATTTTCATATTGAATTATGATTGTCACAACAGTAGTCACAATTTAGTAATTATGACATAATTACATACCCCTTATGTATGATGAAGTAAAAAGGTAAACAAGAAATAAGAATAGCACAATTTAATTAACATTAAATAATATAAAATATTTTATATCCAAGTAAAATGTGTTATAATATGGGGTCAATAAATTATTTGTTTTTTACAGCATATGGAAACTTGGGCAGCGTATTGATCACACAAGGCAGGCTGGCAGAAGCTGAAGTTGCATTTGAGAAAGCACTTAATTACCGACCCAACATGGCGGACGTTCATTATAATCTGTAAGTATAGAATATTGATAAACAAAATGTTATTACGTGAAAATAGGAGAAATCCGACGTGTGCTTTTCGTTCATATTTATATTCATCGCATAAATTTCGATTTCACGCTACGTATGCTCGAGTTATGGGCATAGCGGGCTATGAAAATTGGCGGAAAACGCGTCCCATTACCAAAACAATAAAAATTATGTCTTTGATATTACGGATACGGAAACATGCTTTGACATAAATTATTTTCTCATCATAAATAGGAAATTCAAAATTCTTAATCATTGTCTTTTTAAATAGTTTTTCATTAATATTAAATTTAACATATAAATAGGTTGAAAATTAAATGAAAATTTAAGTAAAGCAAGAATATATTACGTTATTTTTATATAGAAATGGGAAACACAGACCCTTTAGACGTCCTCGAGGGGACAAAAAGGCAAAAGGTCTAGTCTCTTTACAGGAAACGGAAAAGAAAAATATAAAAAATCAAATTCAAATATCATTAAATGTCCAATGTTTATTCTAATTTTGACAGTTATTGATTGGCAAGTTATTGTTATAAGACTTGTAACGTAGCCAAAAACACTGTAATATTTCTATAATACACTACCAGAGAAATGATATTCGGACACTATTAAATAAACCGGTGTGTGAACGTCATTCTGATCTATTGTTAAGATAATGTTATACGTTGCAGTAATGGCAAACCTAATGTTTTATATGCGACACGATCAATAGTCACGCGGTGGCTGTGTCATTAATTCACTAGGCTTCCAGTTCTTGAATTAATCGGGTGTACTCCTCCTAAGCATCGGGTTTCCGTACAGTTTCACAAATTAACGTCAAGCCATACGATCACACAATATAATTACTGGAAACGACAGCGCTTCAACTTTTCTCTACAACAATTTATCCCTTTCTCGTCCAACTTGCCTCATTTAAATAAAAAGAGAGAAATTATTTCAACTAAAATAACCACTTTTTAATTCCATTTTTTTAAATAAATGAATATAACGTTGAATTTTCTTCTCTGTTTTCATTATTTTACAGAATATAATCATTCTATTTTTATACTAAATTAGTTTTTGTCGGCTTATTACAAATATAAGTTTTATTTATAGACAGTCTTTCTTGTAATTTACATGAGGGAATTTTCAGGAAACGTGAAAGGTTAGATATTATGAAGTCTTGGATGTGGGATGTGAAATTTTCTTATATATGCGAAGTGTTTGGAGGATTAGTAGCCATAGAAAAATGGACGTTAGGTGTTTGCTATGTGTTGTGCCTTATTGAATAACATTTTATATTATGTTTCATGACTTATAATTTACTTTTTTCCATTAAATCACCTTTTTTTTGACAAAAATTTCATTTAATTGTTGTAATGATTATTTAGTTACTTTTATGATAAGTGGAAATCGGATTTAGAATAAACTTAACCAAATACAGTTTTATGGATAGGAAAATATTTCATACATAATGTAACCATAGTTTCTTTAAGTAAATTTACATTTTTAATGTATTGATACAATATATTGTATAACAATCAATATTTTCTGATATTGTTTTCAATACCACTCATAAATAATAACCGTTGTTTAATTTTGATGTGAACAGTTATTTCCGATATCCATTTGCCTTTAATATTTATAATAGCAGCGTTGTAGTAAAATGACAGTTTCCATAATATCCAACGATATGCAACATAAAGATTTATTTATGAACTATAATATTATTCTCTGTTACAAAGGATATCATATAAAGTATAATGCTAAAAGCAACTACGAGTATATCTGACGTCAGTCAGCTAATTAAATTTGTACTGCATTATATTTTAAGTATACCCTTAACTTATACTCTATACTGTAACAAAAATAATGAATATGTTTATTATATTTATAGCAAGTAAAATTTATGTCATTTTTATGGTAAAATCATCCACTTTAAGTGTAATGTTGTATGTAAGTAGCTTTTAGTCCGTTTCATTGCTCTACAGACTTTCCACGTCGCGTTATTCAAATAATGACTTTACAGCTATTATAATAGTACTCGCATCATATCGTTTTATGTGTCCATCAAGTAGTAAAAAATACAACCTTACAGCCTTACAAAATATAGTGTTGTGTATTTACTAGATCGTATCATTTTAATTTTATGAAACTCACTAGTTCCTTTTACAGTTGAACAAACTAAATTAAAAAACTGTAAATAAAATATTGAATTTATCTTATTTAAACTGAATATAACAAATATTTTCTTATACTTTCTATCTGTGTGTCTTAAAAGACTTGACCAAATAGTTATTAGAAAACAGAATTACTACTGTACTTAAATAAATACCACGATATGTTGTTCTTTTATTATTTTTTATGTAATCCCTACATAACTCTAAACAATAAAAAACGATATAATCTAAACTGTAAGGATTCCTAAGGATAATAAATATCGATACATAAAAAGAATTATCATAATATGATATTGTGATATATTAAAAACATTATTACAGCCATTTGTACATCAAAGATTAGTTAACCGTGATTTTATATAGCATATTTAAATTCATTATAATGGAATACATATACTTAGACATAATATAATCATATCTGGCATGTACAGTATGGAGATATCATCTACATCCACGACTAATTTGGGTACGGAATTAATTAATCCAAAAACCTCATTAGTAGTGACGTAGAATTATAATTAGTTTTCCATAGTAAATACAACCACAGTTAATTTACACTATTTCATAAAAAAGTTAGTGTTCATCAATATATTAACCAACTGACAGTCAAGTGGTCAACAGCATAAAGTAATTATTTTCCCTCCTATATTCGCAATTATTAAAAGCTCAAATATAATAAAATTATATTTTTGGTATTTAATTTCTCAGGATGTAATGATAACATAACAAATGTTATTCTTTTAATACTTATATTATAATTTACATAAAATTTTCCATTATTTGTTTAACATGTTTTTCATTGAAGGGATAAATATATAACTCGGAAATCAGTTACTTATTACCCACGCTGTATAAACTTTTGCGTCAGGGAAAAAAATATGAGACTCATATTGCGTTTTATGGAACCCTTTTTTGCTTTAAAAAAGTTATGAAGTATGTTTTTGGCAGCGGTAATTTGGCTGTGACTCGTTCCTCGGTTATTGTTACCTATGTACATGTTGGAACGATTTTATACTAATTATCATAATATAACCATTAATTACGTATGTAATGATTTACAATTATCTATTAAATATTTACACGAACTTTAAACGAGGTTTGATGAACTCCCTGTAATAAAAAATAATGTTTAGAGTGTGATTTATAAATTTGATATTATATACTTATGCAATAAACTTGTTTCAAGAATTTTAATATAAATTGTATAGTATGTTTTTAACAGGCAATTATTTACATTTACTTAAATGCAACATCTATAAATTATAAGAATCCCGAAAATTAAAGGGAATATAGTATTAGTTGAAGATTCCATACAAAGATTAGATTATTCCAATTTTGGCGGTAAGAAATCACTTGAGCACGTACATGTCTCTAGAGAATTTATGCACGGAAGGGTGAGGTCACGCTGCTAACAAGTATGGACGAAAATAGCATAATTTATAAGGATAAAATTTTGTAAACACATTGCAGACAGTAAGCTTTATTGAATTTAATATTCAAAGATGAGATAAACTTATTATGTCTTCAACTTAAGAGTTAATTAAAAATAGCCCATTTAAATTAATATTAAGTTACCAGACATATTTTTAATCCTGAAATTACTTTATTCATTATTATCAATGAATGCTTATGACATACCTGAGGTGCGATTTGAAACTATTTTATATTGCTAACAACGAGTATAAAACTTGGTACTCAATAGTTAAATTCCATTACTGGCTGTGCAAATCCAGATTCACTTGACACCGTTTCCATTACGAGAAAATGGAAGCAACGTACGCCGAATTGAGTACAGTCGCGTATATCTGTACATACACTGTACGGGTATGTAGGCGATGCGAGTGCAGTCGGGACGCTAGCGTGTCCCAGCGGCGATAAGGCGTAGATTAAACTCATGTTTGCTCACACACACATATTTAACATTCTCACCAGACGCGACAACACTTGCTAGGTATTTTGCATATCGCTTGTTTGCGAAACAATTTGGTTTGAACGTATTTGCAAGCTAGGTGGATATCGTTGCTTAAATGTTTAAAGATATTACTCTATTTTATTAATTTTCCCACCATCAGTTTTGATGCTACATTACTTTGATGTGGCTGAATTATTTTGTACAATTTCGGAACGGTCGCTTAACTGTGGTCTGTAAAATAGCCAGAATTTATAATAGACTATAGGAATACTTTGAGTTCATCTCACGTTATATAAAAATTTTTCATTAACATGTTAATTCTCAGAAACCTTGGATCTTTTGGGTTTAAGAAGTCTTTCATTAAAAGATTTAAAGACGTACTAAATTTTGTTTGTTGATGAGTAATAAAGATTTCATAGACTTTTGTGTTAACCTCCTAAAAAATTTATATATTCAGAGTACCTAAGAATCGAAGTTTCTCTACAGCTAATGTCTGTAAGAACCTTGAAGTCTCTATCTATATCTGGCTTAGGTAAGAAATTTACTGTAGTATTACCTATCAATGTTCAACAATGCTACCAACTCGATAAACTTTCGTAGTCTAAAATAGTTGGCGTTTGCAAAATTGCAGTCGAAAATAGCAGTAAACCGAATCGATTAGAAAAAGGAAAACTAGTTCGGTTTGCAAAATTTCTGTGAGAAAGGTTGTTCTGATATGACCTGATGGAAATTTAAGTTTTGATAGGAATAATGAAAAAAGTTTGATGTGAATGAATTCACAAACCTAAAATAGAAAGCAGCATATTCTCAATTTCTATTTTTCACGTCATAAATAGAATTATTCGGATAGATTGTTAAAAAAAGAAATGAGTAAGAAATACACATCTGTTCTCTCAGAGGAATGATTTGTACTTGAAATAAACACAATGTTTCTGTATATAAAGAAGTGTTTAATCTATCGTACGTTTACTGAACTGCACTTTATTAAAAACAAAACATTAACTTTAAGAGCAAAAATTATAACGATGTTTAAATGTTATTTCATATATAATATTGCTGAATTAAAAGTTGCTGATAAACTTGTCCATTTTAGTACATAAATATAGGACCACTACTCGTAAACACTACATTCATATTGGACTGAGCAAACAAACTTATTTCAACAACATAGCGGATCATAATTAAAACAATATCAATAAATCATAAATTACATAACATCCTGCATTAATTAACTGAGAGGAGTAAACAAAAGCACCGCCCTCAAAACTAATCAAACATCAACACGAATCCTAAATTAAAGTTTAATTTGTTAAACTATCTAACGCGAAGTTATAACAAGAAATATAATAAATTTTGAAACGTGTTTAAATAATAGGTAAGTATAAATTTAATTTGTCAGTTTATTAACTTTTTTGTTCGAATGTAGGCACCGCATATCGCGTGACTCTGTTAACGGAAGCATCCCTACTCCTTCGTGAGCTTTGCCGCATAAATTACTTTCAATTCATTCGCGCGTTTGTCAAAGGTACCTCGTGAAACAAATAATTTGTCAGCGCCATTAATATTTATGCATCGTTAACATTAAGAAATCGTTACTGTTTTAATGAAGTCTGTTGTTATGCGTCATTATATCCAGCCTCGCAATTTCACTCAGATATTATAGCTATAGTAAAATTGTTTATTGACACAAAGTTATTAATTCAAAACAAAACAAACAGCCTAATGATTTTGTGGAAACTTTGTTTCTATTCGGTGGCCAGTGACAAAATACAAAATAACCCAATTAAATCTGAAGTTCATTCATTACTTTAAATTTCCGCTTCCATAAATTTATAAAAGTTTCGTTTTATGACAAATTTTTAATTTTCACTAGCAACCGTCTTTCTAGAAACTAACTATGCTTTTAAATATATTGCTACCTGTTATTAACTTAATAGCCTCAAAAGACAATGCCTAACACCAAAATGCTTTTAGTAACATTTAATGACGTACGATCTATTATTGCATAATTACCACGGAGTGAAATATTATCTACGGCTATTCGTATATTCAGTATTATATATAAAATCATTGCATAGAATAGGATATAATAAATAGGAAGTACATTGTTATAATTAGAGGGGAATTAGTAACAAATTATTGCTGACGTAGACGAGGCACAATAGCTGGGGAGGGACGATTCTCATTACTGTACGTTGAGCCCACGTTGAGCCCGACCCCGTGGAACTTGCATTATTCATGCGGACAATATTGCACTGCCGCATCTATGTATTATTAAGGTAGTTTTTATCATACAACACAAATGACAAGCTGTCGTGATGAAAACGCTCATCAAATCTGTCATACGTATTTCACATTTTCATATCATATCTGGTTTGATTAGTTTTTGAATTAAAATGCTATTAAATTTCTCAAATACGTTGGAAGCACAATTTAAATAATTATAAATTTAGCAGTCCCTGGAGCTACAGTTACAACATTTTCTATGTAACTAACTACATGTCGGTAATCATTAATTAATTTGATCGTATTGATTTAATATTGATGAGCGTTATTGTATATCATAACAATCCGATACGTCTCTAAGGGCGTACTTCAGACGACTAATTCGAATTAATAGGAATACCAGGCACTTATTAATGTTGATATTATACCTTAATAAATAAAGAACATTGAAATAAAGAAAAAATACTTATTATAATATTCTTAAAAACTTAAGGAAACAAATGAAGGATAGATTAAGCAAAGAGTTAATATGCATTATTATTTCAATTATCAAATTACTTTAATCTTCACTGGCTATTATGACTCCATATATTAAATAATAAGGACAATGCGTATCAGAAGACACTCATAAGTAATATAATGGGAAGGGTAGAACTATGTCAATATTCCCACTTAAGTACATTATTGAGAGCTTTATGTCTCTAACTTTTGGTCATCTCATTCTAGTAGAGTAATTAATGTCAGTTCTTTTATACTCCCTCCTATTTATATCAATTTAATGGATAGAAATTGCTAATGATACTGAGACACAATTTTTCTTTATTTGTTGCATTGTAAGTGGATTAAACAATTGAAAGGGAATAATAAGTTTATTGAAAGATAATAAAATGAGAAAAAGAATGGTTTTTAAATGTATTTAAGTTAAAAAAGAAATTATGAATTTTGAAATTTTCATTATGACAAATGGAATCAAGACTGTTAAGGATCAATCAAATAGAGGGTTTTATTATGTAACTCGCTAAGATGTAAATACAAAACAGCAATTTACTTATTTCGTTGTTTCAGGGGAATTTTACATCAAAACCAAAGACGATACGGAGAAGCTATCAAAAGTTTCGAGAGGGCAATTTACTTTCGGCCTTCCATGGCCCGTGAGTATATACTGTGAATGTTATTGGATTTTTTGTTTACGTCAAATATTTAGACGTTATGGACAATCAGAAAAGTTCACCAGAACTATGTAGATTATACAAACCTGTTTTTCTCGTTTTTTGACTAGATCTATTTCTATTACATTTTTATAAAACTCCAATAATTTTATCCTTTTCATTTGTTATTCGATATGAGTTTATAAAAATCATTATTAATTCATATAATTTCGTAGTGGCGTACGTAAATTTGGGCACATCACTTATGGCGGATGGGAGGTTGGCTGAGGCTGCCAGTGCATTGCGTGCGGGTGCACGAGCCGATGGTCTGCGCGTTCGGGATCGACGTGAACATGATGCAGCCCGTGTGTCCGCACTAGTTCAGCTTGCCTCGCTACATTCACAACGAGGACACTGGCATAAAGCTCTTTCAGCCTATAAGGATGCCTTGCAAATATTGCCTGACTCAAACGCCCCCATTGTCGGCTGGACTCGACATGTATGTACTCCAAGTTGTACATCTTTTGAAATCCTCTTGGCAAATCTCCAAAAACTTTAGCATCCATTATATATGCACAACAACTTTGTTTTATAGCTTTATATATTTAACGGTCTGTAATAAACTCACACTCTTATTTTATAAAGTCTTTTTATTTTGATACAGTTTTATGTTGTGTAAAAGTTAAATCTTTTATAAATTTAAAAATTAAAATATAGTTTTTAACTCTATTGAGCTGGATGATATAATTATAACAACTTTATAGCTACTTTTGATATACCTTATCGTTAAGATATGAATAATTAACATCTAAATGTATGCAAATATTTTTCTTAGAATGTATTATCGATGGCAAGTAAAGTACATATGCAGTTACATCAATGGACTCAAGCTGAACACAGCATTCTATCAGCGTTGTCGCTCGCCCCGAATCATGTCGCCACTCACCTAGCTCTAGCGCAAATTGTTTCTAGAAATGTAAGTGAAATTATAAAATAAATTAATATAAAACATATCAAATCACATAATGTAGGAAGTGCGCTTAACTAATGATTATTTTATTGTTAAGGTAAGCAGAAGTATGGAAGCCGAGGTCTGGTATAAAAAAGCAGTAACACTTGCCCCGGATGATCCTACAGTTAGAGATCAATTTGGTAATTACTTTTGATTTATAATTAATTCCAAATTATCATATATCAACGAAAAAAGAAACAATTTAATTATAAAACGATAAATAATCCCGTGCTCACTAAAAAGATCTTATTTATTGCTCAAACGCCAGAAAAATCGATTGTGTTATTTTACGAAAAGCGTTATAACGTAATATTTTTTGATGGAAGGACAATACAACAATAAGTTTTTACAGGTATGTTCCTGAGATCGCAGCGCCGTTTACTTGAATCTGCAGAGCAGTTGGTAAAAGCCGCTCGGCTCTCTCCAACTAACAGTGCTCGAGCTACAACAGCGGCTCGTGCTTTAAGAGACGCAAGGCGATGTCGATCAGCTGAAAGATGGTATGCCAGAGCAGTAGAATTGAACCCTGAGGTAAGTGTTATAAGACACAGAATAATACTAGTACTTTTTGATCAACTAGCTATATTAAAGGTAAAATATGAAGTTTGATCGATATTCCAAAAATTAGTATTATCATACAGGTGCTTTCAACTGTCTGAAATAAATAGTAAATTTTGAAGAGAGAACAGTCAGAGTTTGCTATACTAACAACTTTAGTGTCAGATTTGATGTGCGGGCAGTTGGGTCGTATGACCACAGACGTATAAACAGAGATTTGAAGCATTGTGCTCTAGACAGCCAATTTACAAAGCGACTGCTTTCTGGTTGACTAAAACGATAATTTACCTAGTCCAATTATATTTGATAGCATTATTTATAACACTTTAGAAATATTCATTTTTCCCCACTTATGTTCCTTTGTAAGTGTAGAATATATTATGTGTAATTATGTTGACTTAATGACTTTGATACCATTTATTAGTAATCATCATCAAATATAATTTTATTCAAAGACAAATAAAGTAAGATACACATACTGTTATAAATTATAAAATCAATAATAATCAATGTTCCGTCCGTGATCCGTTATCTAATATTACATAGTTTGAACACACGTTCTAACACAAGTGACTTTCAAAGGACTCAGGTTTGTATTTAGTTTTCTCACAAAGATGTCATATTCATATTATTATTATTATTTGCTCACCATAATGTTAGCAATAAAGGTGATATTTTTTAAATTTTACTTCATGTGTAAATATCGTAAAAAAGAAATCCTGAAAGTATTGCATATGCATATGTACATAACATATCAAAGAGCTATCGGAAAGTATTTTGTGTGTCAGGATAAAAATAAAATCAATATCTTTTATTATTTCATAGATAATAATCTTTCAAAGCTTTAAAAAATCCTTTTTACTTTTAAGTTCGATAGATGTTTTGAGTACTTTTTATCTCATATTTTTATATAAAATACATAGAGCGAGAATACGCAAAATACATTAATAGAACCTCCTTTATTCTGAAACTTGTGCCACCTAGCGGTAAATAAATTTTTTTTATGAAAAAAAAAAATGTTTTACTTATATCTATTTATATACTTTTTTACGCTTTAATCTAGAATTCCGTGTCGTCATATAATTTTTAGTACGTGCGTCCATGACTCTCGGGGGTACCATAAACTCAATTTATGTTTTTTTTTCATCAAAATTTCCACATTATCAACAAATTATTAAATTTTTATTATGTTTGTGTAAATATCGTAAAAAAGAAATCCTGAAAGTATTGCATATGCATATGTACATAACATATCAAAGAGCTATCGGAAAGTATTTTGTGTGTCAGGATAAAAATAAAATCAATATCTTTTATTATTTCATAGATAATAATCTTTCAAAGCTTTAAAAAATCCTTTTTACTTTTAAGTTCGATAGATGTTTTGAGTACTTTTTATCTCATATTTTTATATAAAATACATAGAGCGAGAATACGCAAAAATACATTAATAGAACCTCCTTTATTCTGAAACTTGTGCCACCTAGCGGTAAATAAATTTTTTTTATGAAAAAAAAAAATGTTTTACTTATATCTATTTATATACTTTTTTACGCTTTAATCTAGAATTCCGTGTCGTCATATAATTTTTAGTACGTGCGTCCATGACTCTCGGGGGTACCATAAACTCAATTTATGTTTTTTTTTCATCAAAATTTCCACATTATCAACAAATTATTAAATTTTTATTATGTTTTCATAAAACTTAAATTGTATTTATTGATATGACTGAAAGTTTTATTTTTCTAATTAATCATGTTAAGAAAATGAATTGTACTTTGTTTAAAATTCTTATTAATCTGCAACTAGCGGTTGGTTAAACACTAAAGAAAAGAAGAATAATTGAATATTTATAAAATTCGAAACTTATCAAAATCATAAAAGTCATTTTATTAAACTGTCATACTGTTAACATTTTTATTTTTTTTTATAGTTCATAACAGTAACAAAATAATCAAAAAACCAAGAATAAATAATAAAAAGTTATTATACGTCATTAATTTATCAAAGTTAACAGTAAATAAAATTTCAAAAGTTTTAGTAATGTCTTAAAAATACCCGAATGCCTTGTTTTATTAATAATAATCAACACAACATACATACATTGTATCAAATTAGTACTATAAAAATAAAGAATGATACGCGTCTGAAATAAATAGGACTCATCAAATTTCATTGAGTCGTAATCCGGAATAACAGACGGCTATATGACAAGTTCGTTAATACAAATTGTTTGTTGCAGGATGCAGAGCATCATTCCAATCTCGGCGCAATCTTGCATTTGAATGGAAAATATGTGGCAGCTGCCTCCTCATACCGCCGGGCGTTACAATTGCAACCTAATGATCAAATAACAATCACGAACCTAAAGAGAGTCAGAAAATTAATTACCAACCAAAAGAAAAAATAAATAAAAGGTAGTTATGGCGTTTTTGCACAACATAACCTGATATTGTCAATTGCCAAAATCTAGATTTAGATCCAGATTATTGATTTTTTTAACGTATTAAGTGTAGCCACATTTAATTGACCATTATCACATTTTTTTTAAATCGAATTGAGCAAACAGAGATGTTGCATTTGTTTTTGTGGGAAAAATAATCATTGAACTTATATTTCAGCGCCTCGTGAAGTTACGTAACTTGTTTGACCCATAACATATGTATATTCAAAAAGAAAATTTCGGATCTCTTAAAACATTAACCAAACAATTTTTGGCGATAATAATTTAAATATTATCTTTCTTCATGTTCTTTTCCCATTTAAAATAATTGTTTATACTGAAATAACATTTTGCGAGGTGCTATGTTCTTAAAAATCTACTTTTCGTATATTGATTTGTAAAATTAATTTTATAGTTTTAATATTTTGCATTACAAGCTCTTAGGGTATGTTGATATATGTATATTTTTGATTCTATTTATTACACAACTTATGAACTACTCATTATTAATAAATAAGTTGGAAATGTTGCATGACATCTAATTGAAGATACTTGCCAAATAAATTGTACCTTAAATAACATGCTTTTGAAGCTCGGTTCTGTATGCAAAATATATTTACCGTTTAAATATATGTTGAAAGATGTTTAACGAAATATTTAGATATAATGTTCAAATTCAATAATCCCCGTTAATAAAATTATAAATGCACAACGGAATTTATATTTGACGCATACATTTTTGTCTTTAACTTGTGGTACTAATTCAACTCCAGAAAGGGTCGATGAACAACGCTGTAGATGTAGCTAGTATTGTAAATAGATATTTTAAAGTGACAATTTTATACACATGCGAAAATTGTATTTTAAAGATATTTTCCCATGATTCTTAAATACGGGAAAGTGCTTGTTGTTAGTTTATTTCGTCTTCCATTATAGTTTTGTATGGTTCATTTATTGAGTGTTGATATAAAGGCTAGCGTATAATTTTCTTATACAATTAAGCACAGAAAATTGAGGCAATTTCAGTTGTTAAATAAGGTAATAGCTTCTGAACAAAAGTTTTGTTACCAAGAATAATTTCAAGCTAGAAATTTGAAACGACTTACCGTTATTGTGCAACTAAAATTGCTACTCCATTTTAAGCCTAACTTCCTACTTATTAGTTTACGACCTTTCAAACTTTCGAAATTGTACATATTTTTTTCTTATTTATACAATATATAAGTTTTATAATAATTAAAATTCGTGTTATCAAGTGAGTCACTAAGTTATTTGATATGTTATTTTGTTTGAAATAAAGTCTGAAACATATCTATTTCAAAGTTTAGATAAATGAAACAATGATTGTTAATTCGTGTTAAATTGTAAATTAAATTTGTAAATAATATGACAATGACGTTAATGTCATACATAGTTCATAGTATTTGAATCTCTGATTTACTATTTTTGTCATTTTCTTCTTACACCTGTGACAATAAATATATATTACGCTTTTAATAATAGAAAAATGCCAAAAAACCTGCCTGTTTCTTTTCGTTGTCATTAATGAAGCTTTTTTGTTTTAAACATTATTGCATTTGGAATTAAAGAAATAAATACAACTTAAATGGTAATTATGATTGTCGCGTAATAAATAAAATAAGTTTAATTATATTTTCAAATGTCTTAAACAAAAGTTATGTTAATGTGATATCGAAAATGTTGGTGTCATATGATGATACGTTTGGATCGTACAGAAAGTTTTAATAACACAGACATTCAAGAATATATCTTGCAAAGCCATCTGAAACAATCGAACTTCAATAAGGAATGTTACCACGCTGTCGGAATAACATCGCTAAAGTGGTCTTTACCGTCAAATTTATATATTAGAACGGTTATAAGAATATTCACTGTGACATAACTAAATTCAATTCGTTTGTTAACTTATAATCCATTTAAAATGTATATTGTGACTGTTCAGTATTTTGCTTTATTGTTTTAGTTTTTAACAGTACAGTCATCGACAACCTTTCAAAGAAAAATTATATATTATGTGCACATTAAATGTAACTTCTAGAAATTACAGGTGATATTCTTTTAATAAATTCCATACGGTCTTTTGGAACTTGGTATCATTTCTTGCACCAATAACACTTAAAAATATGAACGTTATTTGATTATGAAAAAAATATTATCGTTTCTCATAAACTTTATTACTATTGTCTTAATACTTTAATGACTTTCCTATTTTATATAAACATTTAATCTTATTTATAACTATTATAATAATACCATACTTCCAGCTAAATCTGTTTATTTAATGATAATCTACCATTTAATGTAGGCTCACATTATACTTAAAGATTGAGGAATTGTAACCATTATTGTTTTTATACTAGTTATGTATATTCATGGTGTTATGCAAGTAAAACTGCAAATTCCCAAAGTGATATTATACGTTGATAATTTTGTAAATAAAAGCTTCAATATTTTACATTCTGTGTTTTATTTAAAATTGTGTTAATTTGATCAAAAGATTATTTCTTACAAAGCAACCGCGTAATCTATAAAAAAGATATGTGAAATATTTTAGTGAGTGCAGAATTATTCCTAAACACCTTATTTTTTAAAGTTTCATGCTAATATTTGAATGCCGTAATGAATGCGGAACAGAAAATCCTGATAAAAAAATTAACTTCACGTAATGAAGTGTCTGTACGCTTAATACGAATTTACATCTTTAAACTAAACGCGGTCAGTTCAAGGTTTTAAGTTGCTGTAAAAACCTTTTAGCCATGTTTTTTAATCAACAATAGCGTTATACGACTATTATTTTCGTACATTTAAATAATTAATTTGAATAAAGAGCACAATTAAACGCAATGTAAGTTACTAAGTTGTTTTGTTACAGTTTACGTAATATAATTGATAGTGTTTAAACGTTAAGCTGTAGGTTAATGTTAACGGAGATGCTGTTATACGCGGATTTATACATTTTTGCGTATTATATTATATTAAGAACGAGTCATATTATATTTATCCTAATTCCAGTGGGGTATTCCATATATTTATGTTTACCAGAGACAATTAATTATATTTCTTAAGAAACAGGTCCTTTAAAATCTTTAAATATAAAAACTAACTCAAATTCAGACTTTTACGAAATTGTCATTATGTATAGCTATATTTCTGTAGATTATACTTACTTTTAATCTTAAAATGTACATATTTAGTGTCAAATAATAAATAAATTATTTCAATCGTTCTAACCGAAATGGATTTATTTTTTGATAGAATTGCACTACATTTTAATTTATTAATTTCATTTTAACTAAATAAATGAAGTTTGGTGCGTTAAGTCTAGCAAGAACTAAATATAAATAGAGAAGACGCTTTAGAAACGTGACTGATTAATTAGATTAAAATAATGTTTAATGTCTAAGATCAAAAGGTGACTTTATACTCAAACTATTTCCAATATTTACCATATACAGGGTGACTGGTGAGTTACTATCAATATTTAAGGACGTGGTAGTTGACGATCATATATGACAAAATAAAAATTAATATAACATAAATATTAATAAACTTCTGAGTAAAGTTAACCTAAAGTTATGTAATTAATTACGCATCGTGTGAACACCCTACAGATTAGGTATACACTGACACTCACACATACGCGTGTCGTGACGTAGTGTTGTATCAGCACGCCCCCGCACGCGTCCACACTTGAACACTTGGAACGTGTCAACACTTTATTTATTTATACGGAAATTTGGTCAAAAATTAAGTACCTATTTTTTTTACATAATTCGAATGAGAATCATGTACCGAGTATGCCCCTTAAATATTGATAGTAATTCACCAGTCACCCTGTATATTTGGTTTTTGTAATTTGGTACAGTAAATTTTTGTGTTTTATTTAATACTAAAATATTTTTATACAATGGAAGTAAAGAAGCTTTTTTAATGAAAAAAAAACAAAAAGGTATACAGGAAAGTCGTCAAGAATTGACATAAAAATGCCAAAACTTACTATTAATTCAGTTATACTTAATATTAAGAATTTGCCTTTTATATATGTATTTTACTATAGTGACTGACTGTAAAAAAATATTCAAAACGAATTATTACGTATCCAAATATTATATGTTTACAAATTTAAAAAAAAAGTGATCCATATCAGCTTATGTACATGTAATACCCTCCAGAAATTATGATAAAAATGATGATATTACTGTCACTAAGTCTAAACTGTTAAACTAAAAAATCAAACACTACTTTGCAATACCCTATATTCAATATTTAGAAACCACAACAAACACAAAGTAATCTCGTACTTGTAAGTAAATCTAATAGACTCTCCAACTAAAGTATAAATTTTTAAACCACAGAGTTACGAGATATCTATAAATGCATATTTACTAGAGTTATTTCAATTCATTAGAAAATAAGCTGTCATACAGTTGACAACTGAAGTCAAATAAATATAAAGTCTGAAAAGACATCTTAACATTAATCCTGACATAATACTGATAGAAAACAAATTATTTGAAGTTAACCCACGTAAATTTATCGACGAACTACGATATTCTTAAGAGATCTTTGTTGTTTTCATAATAAAATGAGACTGTGAAACTGTCCAAGATTGTTAACATTTTTATTTATATTTTGCTAAAAAATTTCGTCAAACAATAAAAGTTTACCATCATTTTCTACGGCTAAATCAAACGTATTTCTATATCTAGTCTTTAGTAGGCAACTTCTTATTAAAACCAAAGAATAACATCTGATGAAAACTTTCATGTTCTAAAATTTTCTACATAGTTACTACCTACTATTTTTATAAATTATCTTCCGAGAATGTAACAATGTTCAAGTACGCTATTCTAGTGATTTCATAGGATCGCAATGAATATTTTATAATGCGAAGTTAAAAAAAATATGAAAAGTAGATTTAAGAATAATAATAAGAATAATTACCT